AAAACAACAACAAAATAATTCTTAATATAAATCTTTTTATATTTCCCGAAATGAGATGACCTTTGTTGAAAGTCTGGTACGTTAAATGGTCTGTAAAATTTACCCTGGAGGAAACAAAATGTCCCGCTTTGCCTCAACGGTCTATAGAGAGGTTTAATAAGTTACATTGAAACGATTTTGTAGTCTTACCACGTCGTAGCAATATTCGGTCATGCTGCATTTAACAACTGTACATTTAACAATAACACTGCAGCGCAGTTTCCATCGCAAAAGACTACGTTGTAAGGCTAGCATACCTCTCCTCCTTGAGGATTTTCTAAAATCCATCTTGTGTACAAAAACGACAGTTTTTTAGCGCCCATTTTAACGGTATGATCACACAGAAAGCCATAGGCGCTGCGTATGGCGACTTTACTGGTATGCCTGAATGAGATGGTTGAATGTATAAGTCGTGGAAGAAACTTGTGTCGCATTTGCAAAGGGACGATGCTTCATGATTATGTTGCGAATGATGGCCTGGGGATCATGAGCAGCTTTTCGCCACTGATCTTTGTGTCAGTGCATTCACATCTGTTACAAAATGCTGTCCTGTGCTTACCATGGCTGAGTTACAACTTGTTGCACGTCTTATTCTGGTTGGTCCTATGATCCTAATATTCTTTTATTTTTAATGCCATTGAGAACAGATGATTTTGACGCCTTGGAAACTGTAAACCCCTGATATGAACACATCCTTATAATATGAGTGAATGTTAATTATGCATCGGAAGATAAACATTTCTATCAAAAATTAAATATTACTTTAACAACAACAAAAAATACTGATCCGAATTTGATTAAACGACAGGTCTTGCCAAATAATGTTACTTACTAGTAACCATTATTATCATCTCTTAATTTTATTAAAAAACGTCACGTTTGTTTATATGCCATTGTACATTTAACTTACTATTTCCCCTTTTCAAAACCAGAAGGAAATGTGTTTTATTTTATTTTACCACATCAAAAAACATTTTTTATAGTACGATGACATTTACTGAGAAACTCTTTCAAACATAAGAGAATCGGGTTAGAAAACTCTTAACATCAATACATCTGTACGCAGTTTATTAAAAATCATTTTATTTATTAGCGCGTGTATGATGATTTAATACATATTTTAAACATTAAGATACAGTTTGTTTCATTAAATATAAAGCAGGATGTCTGTCCCCCCCCCCAGTACTAGTTTTCTAGTATTATTGTACATACCCCTTGCACTAGTTTTGGGTTTACCCAACATACGAGTTTTGCACTCATTTTCTACTGTTATTGTACATACCTCTTGTATTAGTTTTGTGGTTTTACGTATCATATATAACCCTTGCACTAGTGTTTTTACTCTTATTATACATACTTTTTGTACTAATCTGTAACTTTATGAACCATATGTAATTCTTTCTCTAGCAATTTACTGTTATTATACATACCCCTCGCAATGGTTTGTGGCTTTACGTACGTTATATGGCTCTTACATAATTGTTTACAGTTATTGTACATACTCATTACACTAATTTGTAGCTTTATGAACTATACACCTGGAAAAAAGTTAAGCACCCCCAAATATTTTTCAGGATTACTTATTGAAAATAAGGTTTAATTTTCATGATGTTGAGCAATGTTCATAATTTCAAACATAATTAAAAGGATGTGAGCGTTCAGGTGTGACATTTAAATCAGGCGCGTTTTCTTCCCCACGTGCAACTTGCTCCCTTCTTCACGTACAATATGCACTATTTTCTCGTGCATCAAATCCGTATTTAAGTCCCGAATTT